TCCCTCCAATAGAGTGTTCTCGTTTATCTTCATGGTGCCAAACCAGACACAAACACCATTAGGACCGATTATAACAATAAACTAAATTCAACCTTTGTACATCCCATTAATATATTATAACAGCTGGATACCGAATCACATGATGGAGACCATTCTGCCCGCAGATGTATTAAGGGGAAACGGTAGATTTTTCAATGTCTGTATTATGAGAATGCCATAACGTTAATACATTAATTTATTCTATTTAGAATGAAAGTAAAAATTACACACCTTTCATCTAGACACACTTTTATTAGGAGATGGAAGTTGCCTCAAGGTGTTTTACAAATTTGCATCTTCTGTTAAAACATAACTAAGTCTAATTTCATATCATTATGTCTGTGTGTTTACAGTCCCAGGCAGCATCTCAAGAGGCACTGGATCAGATTAAAGCAGCAAATGAGGCCAACCTGCGCTCTCAGCTGGAGCAGAAGAGCTGGGAGCTGGAGGTGGAACTGTGCCGGATCCGCACCTCCCAGCAGGATAGCCTTAACCAAGGCCTATGCAAGAGGGGCCACCCCCCCCGGGGTCCCCCCCCGCCAGTGTGCGCATGGCCCCGGTCCGGTACAGGCCCCCCCTGGCGGGTTTGGGAACCTTTGTGAGTGACGACCCTCACAATTTCATATTATTTTGAACAAACTACATTCATGCAAACGATTATGTTCAATTGTCTGCTGTTTCTTACATTTTCATTTTCTTGTTGATCAAAATGTATTATACTGGTTCTCTGTGAATAGTCTTACCTCCCAAAACATCTACACATTAGCTCAGATGCAAAATAGTTTAATCAGTGGTTGTCATCAGTCAAGCATATTTACAATCCTATTAGAATTTAATTGGTTCAAGAAATGCAATTGTGATTTGCAAATGTGAAGGATGGTTTGAGAAATGTACAATAGCAACTGAAAAAAACTGTCTAGGTTCCGAGGAATGATGCTGCACACTATCTAGACATTGCTATGCCTCCTACTGACCACTAGGAGCCGATAATCTAACCACCAGTGAATTGGGATACTAATATACTCCACTTTGTGTCAATTGCATGAATTAATAATTCAAGTGACTATGTCACTTTAAAGATTTATAAGTTGCAGTGCAAACCAACTGAGCCAAATAAAAGGCACGTCCTGTTTACTCCCTGACTTGCACAAATGAACAAGGCTTTATTCATGACATGCACTACATAGTACATGTACATAGCTAAAGATTCTGACCTGTGGATACAAAATCTTCATTTTGTGGTTTTTCCCCACAGATCAGAATTCAACCCAGTGCAATGAAAAGAAGTTGCTTTTTCAGCATGGAAAACCAGTACATGGAGCTGTTATAGTTTTAAACCATTAGATTAAGCAGTGGCGGTTTTTGGCATGGGTGGCATTTTTTCATGACACGTGTGGGGGGGGGGG